CAAAGTTTTCAAACAGGCTCATGTCAGACATTTGACTTTCAGAAATCTACTCAATGGGGCCAGTCACGCACAGAGGGTGAAATGTGGCTTACAGAGCCTAGCGTGGGAGTCGACACTAAAACCCAAGTCTTGGTTTTGTTAAAAGGGATTTGTCATTCAAAGAAAGTGGAAGTCTTATTTTAATTCACTAAAATAATCTAAATGTTTTGCTGCTGGGGCTACAGTTCTAACGTGGCATTGCATAACCACTGTTACATAACCCTCCACAGCTGACAGTCTCTGAACATGTGACCTTCCAGTGACTTACATGGAGCTCCTCTCATTGCAATAAAAAGAACTTGGTTTTGGCTATAGCTGCATAATTGATCTGAAAAAAAAAAAAAATCACAACAAATAATTATTTCAAATACATTCATTACATGTAACCACATCAAACCCAAACAGGCTTCTATGAGAATGTAGTTTTTGTGGTCTTGTTGCTAGCAATTTAAATACTGATGTAAATGAAACACACATATCTATGTTGAAAAAGCAAGTAAGTCCAGGGTTCCTACCCTTAAGGAGCTAGTGTAGAGGCAGCGTTCAGGGAAGCTAGGGCACAGGCAAGGAAACAATTCCAAAACCAGGGGGTGAGCTCTGTGAATGAGGTGGGCACTAGGAGAGGACAGATCCAGGGCTAAGGTCCTTGTCACAGAGAAAGGCAGTCTCCAGCATCATCACTGCAGTGAAGGGCACGCGATCTTTACGTGAACAAAGTCTATCCCAGAATACTTCCAAATATTGCAAGACATGTGGCTCAACATGAGCCAAAAAGACAGTGTCCCCATGCATAGAACTGGGATCCTCTCAATGGGCCAATGTGTAGGAACAGGAAATACTTTTTTTTTTTGAGATAGTTTCACTTTGTCACCCAGGCTGAAGTCCAGTGGCACGACGTTGGCTCATTGCAACCTCTGCCTCCTGGGTTCACGCAATTCTCGTGCCTCAGCCTCCTGAGTAGCTGGGATTACAAGTATGCACCACCATGCCTGACTAATTTTTGTATTTTTTTTTTTTTTTTTTCGAGATGGAGTCTCACTCTGTCACCCAGGCTGGAGTACAGTGGCATGATCTTGGCTCACTGCAACCTCTGCCTCCTGGGTTCACACCATTCTTCTGCCTCAGCCTCCCGAGTAGCTGGGACTACAGGCACCTGCCACCACACCCGGCTAATTTTTTCTACTTTTTTTTTTAGTAGAGATGGGTTTCACCATGTTAGCCAGGTTGGTCTCGACCTCCTGACCTCGTGATCCGCCTGCCTTGGCCTCCCAAAGTGCTGGGATTACAGGTGTGAGCCACTGCACCCAGCCTAATTTTTTTTTATTTTTAGTAGAGATGGAGTTTTGCCATGTTGGCCAGGCTGGTGTCGAACTCCTGACCTCAGATGATCCATCTGCTTTGGCCTCCCAAAGTGCTGGGATTACAGACATGAGCCACTGCACCCAGCCTAGAACAGGAAATACTTCTAACATAAACTACTATTGTGGGGGAAATGGTTCCTAAAAGACAAGAGTAGAATATGGAAGCTATGGACAGTATTCAGAGAAAAGGCTGAAGTCCCACATTTTCCTCCATGTGAGGCCCCATGAGATCTGGCCTCAGTTCCCCCGCCCTCTCATCAGCCCTTTTTGCTTGTGTGCCACGGCACTGGCTGCCTCCTCTGCTTAGGGTACTTTTCCTGGCCATCATGTGACTTACTCTCACTGAAGGATTTGGTTAAAAGCCACCTACACCCATCTAAAGTTGCAAACCCCACCACCTACTCCTCTGTAGCGGTGGGGTTGCTCTTTCTCTCCATAGCACTCATCTGTTATTCTGCATATTCTAATGACCTGTTTCCAGTCTCCACTATCCTGGGATGTAAGTTCTCTGAGAGGAGGGAGTATGTTTTGCTTCTGGCTGTATTTTAACATATCCAGCAGTACTTTTCAATTAAAACCATCAGAAAGCTGTTCACCAGGCTAATAAGCCAGAGAACATACAGTACTCTATTGAAGATTACACTTTCAGAATGGTCATTCTCCCCACTCCCCGCCCCTGCCCAGCAAGTCCACTTTCCCACTGGCTAACAATCAGCACTCTTAACTGTGCTGGCTTATGTGCAGACTTTTTTTGGTCTTGATAGGTACCCGTCAATTTCAAGTATAAGCAATGTTCATGCGGGAGACACTTCTAAACCCTTAACGCACACTGTCTGGGATTTCAAATACTGGTACATGTTACACTGGATTCATTACAAAGAAAATCTTTCCCGATGTTCCCACCAGCTGGCACTGGGAATACATTGGAATGGATAAATGTATTAGAACACACTCTTATCTCTACATGTGGTGGCTGTGCTTGGTTCACGACACGATAAATGCTTCCCAGGAAAATGCTTATCTTATCACGAATCAAGACACCCGGACTGATTCCACTGGGACACCTGGACAGATTCCTAAGAGCCCAGCCCTGCAGATGAATCTTCTGCATAAGATTTTCAGTGAAAGTCTTGGCTAAATTATACAAATCAAAACAAAACAAAAAAACCTCAAAACCCAAACTCTGTACCAAGTTACAAAGAGAACACAGTCTGGTGTAGGATTACATCCTCTAGTGGACGAAGAGAGAAATTAAAAATCCTGACTTGCTGTAACTATTCTTTAGTTCAATTTCTATACCTTTTCTGATACAGGGCTTGTGTCCCACAGTGACTTTTTTTTTTTTTTTTTTTTTTTTTTGAGATGGAGTCTCGCTCTATCACCTAGGCTGGAGCATAGTGGTACTATCTTGGCTCACTGCAACCTCTGCCTCCCAGGTTCAAGTGATTCTCCTGCCTCAGCCTCCCGAGTAGCTGGGATTATAGGCACACACCATCACGCCTGGCTAATTTTTGTATTTTCAGTAGAGACAGGGTTTCATCATGTTGGCCAGGCCGGTCTCAAATTCTTGACCTCAGGTGACCTGCCTGCCTTGGCCCAAAGTGCTGGGATTACAGGTGTGAGCCACCGCGCCTGGCCTCACAGTGATTTTTAACCTTAAATACAACTTCTTAAACACATATTTAATTATCCATTGCCAACACTGAAAGCACCATCTGTAGACAGGCACAGTGGCTCATGCCTGTAATCCCAACACTTTGGGAGGCTGAAGTAGGAGGATCACCTGAGCCCAGGGGTTCAAGACCAGTCTGGGTAACACAGTGAGACCTCATCTCTATTTGAAAAAAAAAATACTCACTGCAGGCAGCTGGAACTGAATGACAACAGGAGGCAACCAGGGCCAGGGAATGTTCCCGACAGCCACATAAAACCTTCCTAGGCCTCCACCCATGGAGTCTAGACCTCCCTGCCATCACTCAAAAAGATGTCCAGCATGCCAGTCACTCGCGTCCATTACTGTGTAGGAGAATTAGTGAAGGCTATTTAATTAATTTTTTTTTTGAGACGGGGTATTGGTCTGTTTTCTATGCTGGAGTGCAGTGGTGCGACCTTGGCTCACCGAAACCTCCTTCTGGGTTCAACTGATTCTCATGCGTCAGCCTCCTGAGCAGCTGGGATTACAGGTGCCCGCAACGACACCCGGTTGATTTTTGTATTTTTAGTACAGATGGGGTTTCACCACGTTGGTCAGGCTGGTCTCGAACTCCTGATCGCCCACCTCGGCCTCCTAAAGTGCTGAGATTACAGGTGCGAGCCACCGTGCCCAGCCAATGAAGGCTATTTATTGTCTTGGGGTCTAGTGACAGAGAAAAGGCGAGCAGGTTCATTGTTAAGGAGCCACTTTTAGGCAGTGTTTTTGAAGACACTTCAAGCAGAGACAAGGCAGCACCCTGAAGGTGGAGGATTCCTGGGAAGGTGCAGCTTCAGCTCCTGTCACTCCCTTGGGACACTCACTCATCCTGTCCTGATTTCCCCGTTACTGACAGACTTCTGCCTCAAGAGGTCGCAGACCAACAATGTCCTCCTGGGGACTCAGGCACCCTCCTTGGGGTGATAATGAGGAAAGCTCTCCTAAGTATCAACAGCTCTGTCCATTTTCCAGACTATAAATAAGATGTTACTGCTCAGGGGGGCCTAGGATCTAATTCTTCCAATCAAACTCCCAAACCAAGATTGAACCGACTGCTCGAGGAACTGTGCACATGGGCAGCAGCTGCTTGCAGAGACTCATATTCCAAAGACAGACAAGGCAACCCCAGTCCCTGTGGGGAAGCCGGCCTTCTGCATACAGGAAAGACACCACACAGAAGAATGAGTCAGTAACTGGGCATCAAAGTGGTTTATTCCAGAAATGTATATATCACATCTTAACACAATGTATAACTTTGGGCAATACATTTCCTTCCTCTAAAGACAAGTATGCAGGGGAGAATGTAGGTAACTGTTCATTGCGGGGTATACACTCTTGTGAGTGGCCCAAATCGTGCAAACAAGGAGGTAAAAAAACAACATCCGGCCAGGCGCGGTGGCTCACGCCTGTAATCCCAGCACTTTGGGAGGCCAAGACAGGCGGATCATGAGGTCAGGAGATCGAGACCATCCTGGCTAACACAGTGAAACCCCGTCTCTACTAAAAGTACAAAAAATTAGCCAGGTGTGGTGGCGGGCGCCTGTAGTCCCAGCTACTCCGTAGGCTGAGTGAGGCAGGGGAATCACTTGAACCTGGGAGGCGGAGGTTGCGGTGAGCCGAGGTCGCGCCACTGCACTCCAGCCTGGGCCACAAGAGCGAAACTCCATCTCAAAAAAAAAAAAAAGCTTTGAAAGTCAGAGAAGTGACAACAACATAGCTACCATGTCTAAAGTGCTCCCAGGCCCCAGCCCAACACTCCCAGCCCTCTCCTGAGTGCTTTATAGGATCTGCTCATTCAACCTTCAAATGTGCTAATCTGGGCCAGTGCAGTGACTCATGCCTGTCATCCCAGCATTTTGCAAGGCTGAGGCAAGAAAACTGCTTGAGGCCAAGAACTTGAGACCAGCCTGGGCAACATAGTGAGACTCTGTCCCTTATTAAAAAAAGAAAAAAAAAGAAAAAAAAGCACCAATCTGGTGGGAGGCATGGCCATCTTCACTGTCCCATCTTACTGAAGAAGTAATGGAGGAAGACACAGGGAGGGACCTGTCCCAGGTCGGGCAGGCTGGCGGGGAGCTGGGAGCTGAACATGTCAACAACGTGGTGGCCTCCGCTTCTAAGTGCTGAGGAGGCACCTGCTGGGTTGTTTGAACCCACCTGCTGCTGTGCTCCCAAAACTTCCCATGGGACCAGGCCTCCCCTCTGCAGCCAAAGTTCCCTTAGATGATTAGAGGCTACACACTCAGACACGTGGCCGGTGGGCATGGGAAGCGCGGAGCATGTGAAAACTCACCTTGGCGTCTGAGTCTATTTATAGCCATACACAATAGGTTCTTAAGCAGTCACCATTCAAAAAATATGTGGTCAAGAACTAAACCAAACAAACCTGGATGATCCTAGGCCAAAATGATTCCTTTCCAGGCACACAGGCCCAGCAGAGACAAAACCAGATATTCATTCACTACACGCACAAGTCTTCCAGAAACTGACCTGCAAAGAAAAGTATATGCATCAGTTTTTATTCTACTTTACCAAGTCTGAATATTTAAAACTGTGAGCACTACGAAATGCTCTCTAAAATCTAAAATCCACCCTCCACCTAGAAAAGCATAATAATAATAAAAAAAAAAAGAGACGAGGTCTTACTACGTTGCCCAGGCTGGTCTCGAACTCCTGACCTCAAGTGATCCTCCCACCTTGGCCTCCCAAAGTGTACCTTGGCCTCCCAAAGTTACAGGCGTGAGTCACCACACCCGCCAGATCCTTGGCATATATGTTCTTATGTTGCCTTCCTTCAGGGCACTCACCTTGACTTGAATTATGCCCTCTTTTTTTTTTTTGAGATGGAGTCTCACTCTGTCACCCAGGCTGCAGTACAGTGGCGCGACCTCGGCTCACTGAAACCTCCACCTCCCGGGTTCAAGCGATTCTCCTGCCTTACCCTCTTGGGATTATAGGCATATGCCACTACGCCTGGCTAATTTCATGTTGGCCAGGCTGGTCTTGAAGTCCTGACCTCAGATGATCCACCTGCCTCGGCCTCCCAAAGTGTTGGGATTACAGGTGTTAGCCATGGCGCCTGGCCTGGATTATGCCCTCTTTTTTTTTTTCGGAGTTTTGCTCTTGTTGCCCAGGCTGGAGTGCAATGGCGTGATCTCAGCTCACTGCAACCTCTCCACCTCCTGGGTTCAAGCCATTCTCCTGCCTCAGCCTCTTAAGTAGCTGGGATTACAGGCACTCACCACCATGCCCAGGTAATTTTTTGTATTTTTAGTAGAGACAGTGTTTCACCATGTTGGCCAGGCTGGTCTCAAACTCCTGACCTCAGATGATCTGCCCGCCTCGGCCTCCCAAAGTGCTGGGATTACAGGCATAAGCCACTGCGCCTGGCTGAATTATGCCCTCTTAAGTGTGATCATTTAACCTTGTCTCCCTAACTGGGCTGTGGCTTCCAGAGAACAAGGGCCATGACTGTTTTCTTCATCGCTGTATCCCTAACATTTAACATATCAGGTCAATGTATCAACAAATGTTTATTGAAAGAAAGACATGACAGTAACATTGTTTATGAAATTTTGAAAAGCAAGTGCTCTCTGATACTAACTACAACCATTTTCTTTAAACGTAGGTCCTGTTTGCAGTATCATACATGATCACCAAACTGCTGCTAGAATGCTCACACCTGTTACTGCAAATTCAAAACCCGGGAAAGCCTTCTCCCGGGAATTTACTGTAGGTCAGGGTTGGGCTGCCTGGTACAACGCTGCACCCACAACTTGGCAGGTTCAACAACACAGGAGCCTTTCCCGAGACCATCTGCCCTGAACACTTTGTCTCCATGCTTGACATACCTGGATCCCCCGCTGAGGTCACTTCCAATGCTCTTATCAACGAGGAGCAGGAAAATAGTGGTTGCTGCATGTTTTCAGTCAATCGTCAGGGGATATTTCTCATTTTCTGTTGAAACCTTGGGGAAAACTAACATAATGTGCCTTAAAAGGACAAAGGTCATTCGATGCTTACCACACTCCTAGAAACCTGGGCTAACCCAGCCAGGGACTCCAATGCTTTTCTGCTAGCTACGGGGCCTCCCTACAGCTCCTTATTCCAATTCCGGTGGCTGTGTGCGGACCAAGTTCTCTTTTGTCGCCTCCCGTCCAAGCCTTAGTTGCGATGGGAGGAGCCGTCCCTGAAGTCCCGGGCGCCGTGGAGGGGCTCTGGTCTCTGGGTCTCTGGTCACCCGGTCAGTGCCTCCAGTCCCCCGGCAGAGCTCCGTTATCGTCCCGGGACGGGCCCAACTCCGCAGGCTAGGGCCGGTGGCGGCGGAACTGTGGCCAGGGCTGCCCTGAGTCATCCTGCGGGCCGCGAGTAGACGACCACCAGGAGGCGAGAGTGGGTTTCCCCTCCAACAGGACAAGGCACATGTCTCCAGTTCCTTCCTACTCCCCTGGGCGGAAGTAGCTCCGCCAGCAACTTCCGACCGGAAGTGAGACTTATCATAGAGACAGCAGCTAGAGGGTCGCCCTGACATTGGATCTAGGTCCTCCAAGGCAGACTTAAAGGGGTCGCACCCCACGGGATGTAATTAATGGGGACTAGAGACTGGGCCAAAGGAGAGGGCCCTGGAGGGAGGGAATCAGAAGGAACATCCCAATTCTTGAAAGCCCGCTGGGTGTCTGGAGCCGTGAAAGCATTATCTGTCTACTCCTCATGCAACCCTCTGAATTAAGTGCAAAGACCACTCTTGTCTTGCGGATGAGAAAACGGGCGCTGCGGCATTGCTTGGTTACTTTCCCAAGCACAGCCGGCCAGGAAGTGGCAGAGCTGGGTTCACACCTAAGTCATTTCTGCTCCAAACCCAATGCCCTTTCCACCACCCCAGGTGGCAGGAAGGAGAGAGCTTAAGAGCGGAGGGGCTACGTGAAGATGCAGGCTGTCCTGGCCTATTGAGATAACTCCTGGAAAGCCTATTGCCCCAAAAGACCTGGTCGATTCCCGACAGTTCAGTGTCTGTGGGCAGAGGAGGCAAGGAACAGGAATCTTGCTCTGAGTCTAATCCCACAACCAAGGAAGAATTGCTGAACCTTGTGTCAGAGGTGTTTGAACCAGAGCAACTCCATCTTGAATAGGGGCTGGGTAAAATAAGGCTGAGACCTACTGGGCTGCATTCCTAGGTCATGCAGGTCATAAAGACCTTGCTGATCAAACAGGCTGCAGTAAACAAGACGGCCAAAACCAAGATGGCTATGAGAGTGACCTCTGGTTGTCCTCACTGCTACACGCCCACCAGCGCCATAACAGTTTACAAATGCCATGGCAACGTCAGTAAGCTACCCTACATGGTCTAAAAAGGGGAGGCATGAATAATCCATGCCCTGTTTAACATATCACCAAGAAATAACCATTTAAAAAAAAAAAAAAAAGCCGGGTACACTTTGGGAGGCCGAGGCAGATGAATCACTTGAGGTCGGGGAGTTCAAAACCAGTATGACCAACAGGAGTTAGAAACTAACCTGACCAACCTGGTGAAACCCCATCTGTACTAAAAATACAAAATTAGCCAGGCATGGTGGTGCGCACCTGTAATCCCAGCTACTTGGGAGGCTGAGGCAGGAGAATTGCTTGAACCCAGGAAGGGGAGGTGGCAGTGAGCCAAGATCGCGTCACTGTGGCCGGGCACAGTGGCTCACGCCTGTAATCCCAGCACTTCGGGAGGTCAAGGTGGGCAGATCACCCGAGGTAGGGAGTTCAAGACCAGCCTGACCAACATGGAGAAACCCCGTCTCTACTAAAAATACAAAAAATTAGGCGGGCATGGTGGTGCATGCCTGTAATTCCAGCTACTCAGGAGGCTGAGGCAGGAGAATTGCTTGAACCGGGGAGGTGGAGGTTGTGGTAAGCTGAGATCGCACCATTGCACTCCAGCCTGGGGAACAAGAGGGAAATTCTGTCTGAAAAATATAAAATAAAATAAGGATCGTGCTGTGGGGAAAAGAAAAATCAGACTGTTACTGTGTCTACATAGAAAGAAGTAGACATAAGAGACTCCATTTTGTTCTGTATTTGAGATGCTGTTAATCTGCTTCTACCCCCAACCTTGTCCTTGCAAGAGCTATGTGCTGTGGTGACTCAAGGTTTAAAGGATTTGGGCCTGTGCAGGGTGTGCTTTGTTAAACAAGTGCCTGAAGGCAGTATGCTGGTTAAAAGTCATCACCATTCCCTTAATCTCAAATACCCAGGGATACGCACACTGCCAAAGGTCGCAGGGACCTCTGCCTAGGAAAGCTAGTTGTTGCCCAAGGTTTCTCGCCATGTGATAGTCTGAAATATGGCCTCGTGGGAAGAGAAAGACCTGATCGTCCCCCAGCCTGACACCCGTGAAAGGTCTGTGCTGAGGAGGACTAGTGTAAGAGGAAAGAAGCATCTTGGCGGTTGAGATAGAGAAAAGCATCTGTCTCCTGCCCATCCCTGGGCAATGGAACATCTCAGTGTAAAACCCAATTGTATGTCCTGTTTACTGAGAAAGGAGAAAACCGCCTTAGGGCAAAAGGTGGGACTTCCTAGCGCAATGCTGCTCTTTATGCACTAAAAAGGTTTATGGAGATGTTTGCATATGCATATCAAGGTACAGCACTTTTCCTTAAACTTATGTCACAGAGATCTTTATTCATATGTCTTACTGCTGACTTTCTCCCTACGATGATCTTATTATCCTGCTACTTCCCTTTTTCTAAGATGGTAAAGATAATTGTCAATAAATACTAAGGGAACTCAGAGACTGGTGCAGGACTCTGTATGCTGAGCACCGATCCCCTGGGCCCACTTTTTCTTTCTCTATACTTTGTCTCTGTGTCTCATTTCTTTTCTCAAGTCTCTCATTCCACCTAACGAGAAACGCCCACAGGTGTGGAGGGGCAGGCCACCCCTTCATCGTGCCACTGCACTCCGGCTTGGGCGACAGAGCTACAGTCTGTCTCAAAAAAAAAAAAAAAAAAAAAAGAAGAAGAAGAAGAAGAAGAAGTTGTTACGAAGAAGAAGAAGAAGTTGTTACCGGGCCTGGGAAAAGTAGAAGTGGAGAATGAGGAATTATTGCTTAATGATTATAGAGTTTCTGTTTGGGATGATGAAGTTTTGGAAATAGTGGTGATGGTTGCACATTGTGAATATAATTAATGCCACAGACTATACCTTTAAAAATAGTTAGAATGGTAAATTTTATATTATGTATATTTTATCACAATAAATTTTTTCTCCTGTTTTTTTGTTTTGTTTTGTTTTGTTTTGAGACGGGGGTCTCACTGTCACCCAGGCTGGAGTGCAGTGATAGGATCACAGCTTACTGCAGCCTTGACCTCCTGGGCTCAAGGGATCCTGTCTCATCAGCCTCCTGAGTAGCTGGGACTACAGGTGCGTACCACCACACCCAACTAGTTTTTATAATTATCATTTTTTGTAAATATGGGGTCTCACTCTGTTGCCCAGGCTGGTCTCGAACTCCTAGTTTCATGTGAATTCCAGCCTCCCAAAGTGCTGGGATTACAGGTGTAAGTCACTGCTCATGGCCTACATTCACCAACTTTTTGATATGAAGTGAAAGCCTTTTATTTTCAGCATGAATCTCTCTTTGTCGGGAGGTCTTAAAGTCACCTGTAAAATAATGCAAGAGCAAATTTGTCTGGATTTTTATGACCTCACCTTCTTCGCAATCTCTTTGAGTTGTCTAACATTCAACAATACATACCGTTAGCTTTATCAACTCGGAAATATTCAACTTAAATTTTTGTTTTGATGCAGGAGCCACACTTCTGTTTTGTTTTACCCTATTTCATGAGTTTACGTAAGAATGAAATGATATAATTGTATAATTAGCTTAATTGGACTAAACAGGTTTGTAAACAACCCACGTGGCTTCGGGCGGGCATTGGGCTCACCTGGTTGGAGCAGAAGCCAGGTGCCCCTGGAGAGGAGCCTCCAGGTTTTGTGTATGTATGTGTGTGATCCCCGTCAGTACCACTTGGAGTGGGAGAGGGACTTTTCTCAAAGGAAGCAGGCTTGAAGGCATCCAGGGCAGGTGAAAACTAGAGGCGTCGTCTACGGCCATACCACCCTGAACGCGCCCGATCTCGTCTGAAAACTAGAGGCGTCTACTCCATGACCCTACCTCTGCCCCCTGGTGGTGGCTCTTGGTGGCGCTGCTGACCACAGGTGATGTCAGAAACAAGCCAGCCGTGCAACTGGCAGGTCTTCTCTGGGGCTACCTGTCTGTCCTGCAGAATAAAGTCCACACGATTGCTTTCCCCCCCTTTTTTTCCATTTCTGCTTCATTAGGAAAAAACAAAACTCAACAAGTCACCCTTAGCTGTCCTGGCCCTGTTGATCTGACCTCCTGTTTCATCACCTCGGTCCCCACACAGACCCCTGCTCTGGCCATTCTGCCCAGACACTCCAGGCATCTGCACTTCAGCCGAGCACACCTGCCCTTTGAAGCCAGCTCTGGTCTCAGGTGACAGTTTCTTCTCAGATGCTCTCCGGTGCCAATTCTTTGACATGTCCTGTGTCCCCTGAGCTATTTGTTACATATCTTTTGATGAACACATCTGGTCTCTGTTGAGTGAGGCTGTTTTCTCTAAAGGCAGGGTATTGTCAGCATCCTCAGCCTTATCGGGAAGATGAGGTCTGCAGCAGGAGCCTTTGCCCCCACCTCCCCAGACAAGAGAGGAGATATTACCCCGGAAGAATCCCCCAGAGCTGGGAGGGCTGCAGGAAGCAGAGATATACATCTCCTTCCTGGCCAGATGCTTGCTACACCACAGACCCTGCCAGTAGGTCCTGGCACTGCTGCCAGAGAGGCCAGACATGATGGCTTATGCCTATAATCTCAGCACTTTGGGAGGCTGAGGGAGGCAGATCACCTGAGGTCAGGAGTTCAAGACCAGCCTGGCCAACATGGTGAAACCCCGTCTCTACTAAAAATACAAAAATTGGCCAAGCATGGTAGCACATGCCTGTAATCTC